CGAGAATAGTAGGCTTCAACGCCTCCTGACTTGACCAGAGGCGTCCGTTTTGCCGTGACGCAACGCGACGCAAACGCTCCCGTTAGAACAGCACCATGTGCTGTAATGTGCAAAATTGGCAGAGGCGTTTGGGAAGCGGTAAAAACACTTCCCAAACGCCTCTCTGCCGCCTGCACACAACGCTAGTGTGAACGTAGCCTAAAGCAAAATTCTCAAGCAAATTGTATAATGTATGGCCAGCCTTAGTTGTATTAATCCCCACCACACCAAAAGATTATGGTGGCTGGGGCGGCAGGGGTGGTGAGGGACAGCATGGCTGGAGGAAGACTTTCACTAACAGAAAAGGAATCACCAGGACGAGGGACACATCCTACAAGGGCATACAAGTTATGTCCTTTGTACTGATTTTTCTGTTTGTGGATTTGGTTGCATTTAGGCTTTAAAAGAAAATGTGCAAATCTGCATTATTTTTCCATTTGTAAATAACGTGTCAAAATAAAATTTTACTGTCATTTTAAATTTTTCAATTTATAGAATAAAATGTAACCTATTTTTTTTTTTTTTTTTTTTAAACAGGAAAATTACTTTTTTTTAGTGGACACTGATCCAGAAAAAAGCAATATTTATTTTTTTTAACTTTTGTCTATAGATTCCACGGAAAATAAAATTTTTGCAAAGCAATATTTTCAAAAGTAAGCCAATTTTTTTCTAAAATAAAAAACAAAAAATAAACCCTCAAAAAAACAAAGCATGTGTTTTCATTATCACATTGTTATCTATTGCTGTTACCTAACGAAGAAGTTATCACCAAATAAAATGGCCTATAGTGGCAATGTAAACATTGCTTTGGTCCGTAAAAAGTAAACAGGTACAAAAGCTGAAGTGGTTAAGAATAGAATAAAGTGGTGCAAAGCAACAATGGTGGATCCATACAGCTGAAATGTTCAAAGTGGCGACTGGCAGCCAGGGGCGGACTGACAACTCATGGGGCACCGGGCAGTAGGGGATCATGGGACCCCTGTGTCCTTGCCCAAACTCAAAAAAGCCTATGAGAAAGGTACCAGGGGCATCTCATGGGGCCCCCTACTGACCCTGGGCCCTCGGGCAGTGCCCAAGTTTCCAAATGGTCAGTCCTTCCCTGCTGGCAGCATTAACATGAAGCCAACACTTTGCTGGCACACTGACCTGGCACTCTGTTCTGCCGTGCAATCTCACACACGTACTGGATAGTGGATACAGGTACATTCCCATCTAGACATACCAGGCAGGACTGGCGTAAACTGTCTGCAAACTGAGATACCTGGCAAAAGAGATGGATTTATGGTCTAAATTGTAATTCCAGACAAAAAGGAAAAGGAAAACAAGTGAACTGTTAGAGTCAAGCTCCTTTAATTTAGGCTTTGAATAATGCAAGGAAGGGATAGAGCATATGTCAAGGATTTATCATTGTCTGTGTCCTTATTGAAGAATTTCCCTTCACTTGCAGTGAGAACAGGAAGTGATGGGAAATCACCCCAATGGGGACACAGACAAAAACAGACACGCCTTGTTAGTAAAGTGAGGACGGTTAGAACGTCTGACAAAAAAACACAACAGTTAATTTAACTCTTCCACACTCTATCTTTATGTATATCTGATTTCACACATATATCTAAAAAAAATTTGAAAATATAAACTTTGTTAAAAAAAAGGAAGTAAAAATGCATTAAAAACTTTCCTACCTACACCTTGTGTTTTTCACCTGCATAAGATGTGTGCTGATCATGTAGTTTCATAGTGTCATTTGCTGCCTTCTATACACAGCCCAGGGGTGGACTGACAACTCATGGGACCCCCGGACAATAAGAGATAATGGGGCCCCGTGTCTTCGCCTACACTAAAGCCAAAGCCTCACCCACACAACACTCAGCCGTACATATTGCATATCAGCTGCATAGAAAGGGCATTAAAAATAATAAAATATTAATAAAACAACATTGCGGGGTCCCCCCTCCATTCATACCAAGCCCTTCGGGTCTGGTATGGATTTTAAAGGGGAACCACCATGCCAGAAAAAAAAAAATGGCGTGGGGTCCCCCCCAAGATCCATACCAGACCCTTATACAAGCATGCAGCCTGGCAAGTCAGGAAAGGGGGGGGGGTTACGAGCAAGCACCCCCATCCCGAACCATACCAGGCCACATGCCCTCAACATGGGGGGGTGATCTGAAGTGGAGGGGTCTCCCTCCCCCCACCCCCCCAAAGCATGTTGATGGGGACAAGGGCCTCTTCCCCACAACCCTGGCCAGTGGTTGTGGGGGCCTGCGGGTGGGGGGCTTATCGGAATCTGGAAGCCCCCTTTAGCGAGGGGGCCCCCAGATACCACCCCCCTCTTATGTGAATGAGTATGGGGTACATGGTACCATTACCCACCGGCCAGGGTTGTGGGGATGAGGACCTTGTCCCCATCAACGTGACAAGTTGCTTTGGGAGGGGGAGCCCCCTCCTCCCCAAAGAACCCCCCCATTTTGAGTGCATGTGGCCTGGTATGGTTCAGGAGGGGGCGCTCACTTGTCCCCCCCCCTTTCCTGAACTGCATGCTCGGATAAGTGTCTGGTATAGATTTTGGGGGGACCCCCACGCCATTTTTTTTTACATTTTGGCGTGGGGGTTCCACTCAAAATCCATACCGGCAATTCTTTCGTTTACATTCAGCTGTCAGTGGGGAACCCCGCTGACAGCTGAAACATTACTGCATGGTTTTCACTACTAAAGTACCGCATGACTTGATAAAATCATTCATGCAGTATTTTAGTAGGTTTGTTTTGTGAATTCAAACGTTTTTGTTTTTTTTAAATGCTGTGCAGTATCCTCCCGCATTTTTGGATGCAGTAAGATACCTCTTAGTGAATTGTGCCCAGTGAGCCTCTCGGGGAATGCCTGAATGGTCAGTCCACCCTGCCCCCTACTGACACTGGGCAATGTCCGAATGGTCAGTCCACCCCTGCCCCCTACTGACACTGAGCAATGTCCGAATGGTCAGTCCACCCCTGCCCCCTACTGACACTGGGCAATGTCCGAATGGTCAGTCCACCCCTGCCCCCTACTGACACCTGGGCAATGTCCGAATGGTCAGTCCACCCCTGCCCCCTACTGACACCGGGCAATGTCCGAAAGGTCAGTCCACCCCTGCCCCCTACTGACACCGGGCAATGTCCGAATGGTCAGTCCACCCCTGGCACATCCTATAGCAGAGTAAATCTTCACATTCCGGTGTCAGCATTTCAATTTGTGTTCAAACATGAATATATACATCATGGCACTGCAATGGTTAATGCATGATCCCTGCCTGTACTGACACGTCATGTGAAGGAACTATATATAACGCAAAGCCTGGGTTTCTCAGTTTAGTGTTCTGCAGGTGTGAACTAAATAGTAATTAGACCTGACACAGCCACAAACAGGCAAAGAAATTATCAGAGAAGTTCCCATGCAGAGTTTCATCACATTAGCACTTCCACATTTGCGATGCAACACAGAGGAAGTGGGGATTGACTGGACACTGTGTAACCAAAACAAGAAGTTACTTGTCCCTTTAGCGAATAGGGACAAACTAGGTGAATGAATATATGGACATGGGGGAATCGTTCAGCCATGACACTGCAAACTGTAGCTACCACATTTGAGCCCATCCTTTAAAAAGGCAAGGCAGACTAATGATACAGGGAATGTAACTGCATTAATACCTTATCAAAAATGTGAAAACATTTGAAAGTGTAAAATATGAACTTCAGGCAAAGAGCAAAATACAAATATGAAATACAAATACAGTAGCTGTTGTACCAGCAAAAAGATTTGTATTTCTATCCATTTCTGTCAGACAGAGCAGGAGATCTGATTATTTATCTGATGCATTGTTAAATCAGATTTTATTTAGAGACGTAAAGGTTTTTCATTCATGTTGTAAATAGTAACAGAGACAAGCGGTCACAAAAGACAGAATATCTGATGCATTTAGGTAAGTTTCAGGTCTTATCTCTGCCCCAGCCTGTGACTGGATGGCAAAAGCAGACTGATGAGCTCATCTCTCTGTCACTCTGCTTGTGCCTCCTATCAGCATGCTCTTTGCACTGCAGCAAAACTGACTGGCTTCTAGGGCCGATTCTCCCTCTCTCAGTCTGAGTTCTGCTAGAGATTGCGAGAGACTGATACCAGGTCAAATTAAAGTACACACACTGCTTGAGTTAAAAAAATAAATAAATTTCATACATTTAATGACGAATGAATGCAGAACTGCATTTGTTCATGCCTTACATAGTTACATTGTAGATTAGGTTTAAAAAAAGACAGTTCAACCTATGTGTATATGTGATTATGTCCTTTATATCCAAGTAAAGATTTCAAAGTAGATTGTTGTAAATAGCTGGCAGCGGTATCAGGCAGTTTCCAGCAGTTATACATGTCAATGTCTGGGCTCAGGTAAACACTCCAGGAAGCACACAATAGAATCTGTCTCTGAGTGGCAGAGGAACATCAGCCTGCTCCACAAAGTATCTTAATCCAGGATTCATCTTTTCTGATCTCCTGACCTGCCCTGATCTCTCACCTCACTTTTTCCATGTTCCATGTCTCACTTACAATCCCCCTCCAATCTCCCTGTCATCAACAGGCTCAGCGGAGTCTTAGCAACATGTGTCATGTGGGGGGTGGAGTTGTCTGCATTCTCTAGAACCCGCAAACGGCTTAATCTTTCCAAATCTAATAAGGTGCTCCTCTAATCTCCTTCTGACAATATTTGACAGCTGTACAGTGAGCTGACTCTGTGCATCACATAACAGGCTGCTGATTTAACTGTAGATTTAAAAGCATATGATCTGTGTTTTATTTTAATTTTTATTTTGCTCAGTTTATTTTTTTACTTTTATTTAAAGTGTAAGTCAAAGTGAAATAATAATTTTAAAAAATCAGCGCACCTCTGCAATACATGCACATTTCCTATTATTTTAGCCCTTTGTTTTAACCACTTCAAGTCCGGACACTTTCACCCCCTTCCTGTCCAGGCCAATTTTCAGCTTTCTGTGCTATCACACTTTGAATGACAATTGCGTGGTCATATAACACTGTACCCATATGAATTTTTTAGCATTTTTTTGAGACAGATAAAACTTTATTTTGGTGGTGTTTATTCACCACTGGGATTTTTATTTTTTTTTTGCTATATAAATGAAAGTCCAAACATTTTGGAAAAAAAAGTGTTTTTCTTATAAAATTTTGCAAATATATAATCTTCTTGGCCAAAATGTATTCATCATTCATTTCATTCAAAAAAAAAAAAAAGAAAAAAAAACCCAAATTAGTTTATAACCAAAAATTTAAAATTTTTAATTTTTACACACACACACACACACACACACACACACACACACACACACACACACTTAATGGTTAGCACCTCAGCCTTGCAGTAAATGGGTCATGGGTTCGATTCCCGACCATGGCACCTCCTACATAGAGTTTGCATGTTCTTCCTGTGCTTGCGTGGGTTTCCTCCGGGTACTCTGGTTTCCTCCCACACTCCAAAGACATGCTGGTAGATGAATTGATTCCTGTCCAAATTGGCCCTAGTATATGAATGTGAGTTAGGGACCTTAGATGGTACACCCCATGAGGGTTAGGGACTGATGTGAATGTACAATATATGTATGTAAAGCGCTGTGTAAATTGACAGCATACATATACATACATACATAGATACATATATAGATTTTATTTTTTTAACATACCGTCACCCTAGCAGTATAGTGTCACCATAGTGACACTGCACTACTTGTGGGGGGTGATGACGATCATTTCTCCTTCTCTCTGGCTGCATTCTTGCAGCCATTGAGAAACACTATAACAGCTGTGATTGGTCACAGCTTGTCACATGGTACAAGGCTGTTCTTAATAGGCTTGTACCATGTGACCTCTGTGATCATTCACAGATTTCACAAGTAGTAAGCAATGATGTCAGGAAGTGATTAGCCAATCAGTGATCACATAAATTGGGACCTCACACAGAGGGTCCTGTACAGTGATCAGTACCGTGTGTTCTCAGGGAGTGTTGTCAGCCTGCTGGACGTAGGACCAGTTCACACCACATGCAGTCCGTTGCATTTTTTTCTGCATCATAGATGCATTGATAGTCTGTTACATGGTTTCCAATGGCATAGTTCACACCAGTGCAATCAGTTCCAGTGTGTTCCAGTTACAGAAAAAAAAAAAAAAAAGTAGACAATGCTGCATTTTGTCTGCACTAAACTGTACTGGAATGCAGTAAAAGGCATAAAAAAGTACCAAAAAACACTATAATACACATGTCCTTATTTAAGTTGAAGAAAAAGAGAGGGGAAAAAATTAACCAGAACTCATCAAAAGCGCACCAGAATGCATATGGTGTGAACCAGCCCTAAAAAAAATCTATTCCCCACCCATCTCTGTCCCTCTCCACATACATTGATTTTTTTTTTCCAGAAAAACAAAGCTACTGCCTTGACTCCCAGGAGCCTGCTCACACACTGTCTTGTTAGAGAAAAGGCTCCTGGGAGATGTAGTGTTGGGGTGAGCCCATGGGATTAGGAACTGACCTCCCAGAAGCTGCCTCTGCAGGACTTTTGGAAGTAATAAAGGAAGTAATACCAGCTGTTTCTCACTACAGGAACAAAGCACAAGAAAAAAAAAAAATAAAGCTTGGTCTCCATTGAATAACATGCATACAGCCACCACGCTGCTCTGTAAACACAAACAAATGACTTTGGCACACTGTGCGGGCTTGTGCACTCATGTGAATGAGCCCTACGTGTTATTTTGTAAAACAAAGGTTACTTATTTAAAGCAACATTTCACAAATACACTAAAATCAACTAAAATAACATTAACCCACAAGCAATATGTAAGGAGTAGCGATAACATATATACTGTAAAGCACTGAGCAAACTGTTGGCGCCATATAAATATTGTATAATAATATATATATACATACATACATACATATAGTGATAGGACGAGACTGTCATGGCGAAATTGGTCATCAAAAGGACACGGGGTTTGCACCTTTGCTGAATGCAGGACTAGGGAACATAGGTTTTAATTGGAGAAAATTGATTTTGTAGCTTTCTCCAGTTTTTGGGAGTCCTGGATGGGGCTCCCTAGTTTGGAGATTCCATAGTGTCTTGGGCGGGACAGAATCTCCAACCCCGTGTCCCGGGTTTTGTGGAGGAACAGCAGGGTGTGTGCCCAGGTGCACACAGGCCTTATAATGGAGATTTAGGAATACCTCAGGGCTCCACCCAAGAGAGACAGAAGTTCTCCTACAGGAGTCAGGCTTTATGTACACAAGCTTCTCCTAAACTCGAGTTTAGGAGCTTTTGGCATTTTTTTGCCAAAGCTCCTAAATTCAACTCCATAAACGCCTATGTGTCCATGTATAGATAGGCTTTTAGCAGAGTTTAGGAGCTGTCGTGTTTAGGTTAAACCTCCCTCTCCTGAATGTGGAAGAATCACGTTCAGGATAGGAACATTTTTGTCCGCGGCCGGTGGTCAAGGTAGGCACGTGTACATGGAGCCTCAGAGAGGCTGCAGGTGGCAGCCGGAGTATGAATGTCTGCAAGAGACAGTTAATGGCCTTAGGACTAGGCCAGAGGAGCTGTGTGCTTCTGAGTTACCAGCCCGAGGACCAGGCCAGAGGAGCTGTGTGCTTCTGAGTTACCAGCCCGAGCAGGCCAGAGGAGCTGTGTGCCAGGCCAGAGCCAGAGGAGCTGTGTGCTTCTGAGTTACCAGCCCAAGGACCAGGCCAGAGGAGCTGTGTGCTTCTGAGTTACCGGCCCGAGGACTAGGCCAGGGGAGCTGTGTGCTTCTGAGTTACCAGCCCGTGGAATAGGCCAGAGGAGCTGTGTGCTTCTGAGTTACCGGCCCGAGGACTAGGCCAGAGGAGCTGTTTGCTTCTGAGTTACCAGCCCGAGAAATAGGCCAGAGGAGCTGTGTGCTTCTGAGTTACTGGCCCGAGGACAAGGCCAGAGGAGCTGTGTGCGTCTGAGAAGCTCTAAGCTGTGTGCCTGGAAGAGCTGGTGGTCGATAAGACCAGTATCTATAGCAGCAGTGCTGCTTAATAGTAGCCAGGTGGGCTAATAATTTAATTTGGACTGTGTGTATTTCACTGGAGAAGAAGCCCTGTGTGGGAAACCTTATGTTGGACTTTTGTTTTTTTTTTGCCTTTCCTTTTAATAAAATTGGGCTACCAAGCCCTGAAATATAATTCCTGACTGGCGTGAACTCACTTGATATCTGCCACACACCTAAACGTCCTCCATATCACGATAAAAAAATATATGCACTGTATAACCACAGCAGATGTAAAACATACAATGACTGAATTCTTACATGTTTCTCAGTAATCTGCTGATGGATTTCCATGTCACCTACTCCAAGGCTCAGCTCCCCGCTGCCAGTAATCACCGCGCAGTAGGTGGCTGTACTGTGACCCTTCAGGCGTGCCACACCTGCCATGTCCTGCAAAAAAAAGAGAGGAGTTATAGAGGTTAATTCACTAAGGCTAGGTTCACACCTATGCAGGTTGCATTTGAGCTGTTTCTGCATTGCGTTTTGCATTTTTTGCACTTGCGTTTTTTTCTGTATTTTTTTTTTTTCATCTTTTAAATTTTTCTTGTTGCTAGGCAGATTTAAAACTCAAAAAGCATAAAAAATGCAGTAAAAATGCAATACATGCTTTTCTGCAGCATTTGCATTGAAATCTATAGAACCAAAAAAATGCAACTTTTTTCATTAAAAAAAAAGTCCCTGACCCTTTCCAAAAAATGCACCGGGTAAAAACACTCAGATGTGAACATGTCCCATAGGAAATCATGTTAAATGGACTGTACTGTGTTTCTGCAAAACGCTGCAGAAAACGCTTAGGTGTGAACCTAGGGTAAGAGATAAATACTGTATGAGTTTTTTTAGTTAAAATAACTCATGCGGTATTTATGTCAAAAGTAGTTAAATCACTAAGAAATGTGATAATTACTGAATGTGTTAAATATTTATGTTTTGTGATATTTATTGTTATTTTTGGCATTTTTTTTGCAACTTTTTTTTTCTTTTTTACATGCTAACACTGCATCAGAGAAATAAATAAATGCACACAGAAATATTATGAAACTGTGAAAACATTCTAGTGTGCTTTCATTTACAAGAAATTTCCCTGTGGTGAAATGTTACAAATTATTTCCATTCCTGAACTCAGAGCAGAACATTTCCACACCGATACATTGTATGCTTTCAATTTACTGGCCAGTGCAGAGTTCCCCTCTTTGTTATTTAGTACATTGCTAAAATACTGACTGCCTACTGCCAGGGGATAGATAAATAATGAATGTTCTTTAGTGAATTGACTTTACTGATTTATCTCTTTTTTTGCGGTATTTACCTCACATTTGAGATTTTAATTTGATGAATTGACTCTTATTATCTCATCTCATGCAATATTTCTGGAAAATGGGTCACGTGACCTTCATAGCGCATGCAGTAGGCTTTATTTCCCATCAAATGAACAGTAATACTGGGTCTAAGGAGCATCCATATCTATGCCCTCTATGTCATCTTGCCATCCAACTAAAAGATTTATATAAAAAAAAAAAAAAAAGGGGGAGCGCTGCCCATTGGTATTCTTCATATAAAATATTGACACGCTGTAATTGTTAGGAAAGTGTTTTTCAGCTGAACATGTTTTCCTGACTGGTTGAAAAGAGACTTGAGTCCACCCTATTGCAAGTGCCCGCTGCTTCTGGGTATGAGGGAGCATGTGACCTCCTCCCAGCATGCAAAGTTGTGGTCCGAACAGCCAATGTGGGAAGTCAGTAATGAGGGTAAAATTATTTATTGTGCAGATCAGAAAAACCAGGAGAAGTTCATTAGTATAATCCTTAACCACTTGCCTACCGGGCACTTATACCCCCTTTTTTACCAGGCCAATTTTCAGCTTTCAGCGCTGTCGCACTTTGATTGACAATTGCGCGGTCATGCAACATTGTACCCATATGAAATTTTTATCATTTTTTTCTCACAAATAGAGCTTTCTTTTGGCGCTATTTAATCGCTGCTTGGAACTTTACTTTTTGTGCTATAAACAAACAAATTGCAAAACATTTGAAAAAAATTTTTTCTTTGTTTCTATTATAACATTTTTAAAACAGGTAATTTTTCTCCTTCACTAATGTGCGTTGAGGCAGCACTGATGGGCACTGAGGTGGCACTGATAGGCAGCATTGATAGGCGGCACTGATGATGGGTACTGATAGACAGCACTGATAGGTGGCACTGACTGGCATCACTGCTGGGCACTGACAGGCATCGACTGGCGCAACCACTGGGCACTGACTGGCGCAACCGCTGGGCACTGACTGGCGCAACCGCTGGGCACTGACTGGCGCAACCGCTGGGCACTGACTGTTGGCACTGACTAGCAGCACTGCATTGATGGGCACAGGTGGGTGGCACTTCTGGGCACAGGTAAGTGGCACTGCTGGGTAGCACTGCTGGGTACAGTTGGGTGCACTGCTGGGCACAGGTGGGCGGAACTGGTGGGTGGCACTGCTGGGCACCGATCATCATGATCAGTGCCGATCCCTGCTCTGACAACTGCCGGTTCTCGGCAGTACTTTCCTCACGGTCTGACAGCGTGAGGAAAATGCAGCCGAGAACCGGCAATTGCATTTCCCGGTGATCAGCGTGTCATTGGACATGGCTGACCACGTGGTA